CCGGTATCCAGACATGAGTGCTGGAGGGATCGTGTACCAAGAATTTGTCATAAACGATGATGACGCGATTACGATGATTTTACAGTTCCTAAGCGATAATGGGATGCGGCTTACAGAGGTGTGTGTTGAGACCGAGGCGGTCGGTGAAACTCATTCTCACCAGTATTGTTATGATGATGGTTTTGCAGGAGGGTACGGATGGGGTGGTAGTTCGAGCAACTACGAAGGCGGTGGTTACACAGGAGGTTACGGAGAGGGTGGTAGTTCAAGCAACAACGGTGGAGGTAGTAGTGCAGGATGGGTGCCTTTGGAAAAATACTCGCAACCTGATCAACCAGCCCCATTTGTTGAGGCCAATGGCGTTCAATGGCCTGCTTGGGGGCCAGAGTGGTCTGAAATCGATAATACCATTCGATCAGGGCGTACTTCACATGAGCGAGAAGACGATGTTGGTGATGGTGGTCATGTTGATCCTTCTAGCCCCAGCTATCCATTCGACTCAAGTGACGAGGATACTGAGGAAGATTTGAGATCAGTAAGCAAGGAGGAAGATACTGATGATAATGACGACGAGGTGAAATTTTGTGAGGCACCCACGCCATACTACACACAGGTTCCAACTCAATTTCTACATAGTCAGAATGATGCCCCCGACTTTGTCCCTATGACAGTGTATAATCCGACAGCCAATTTGGAGGTGGGTATGGCGTTCACATCGAAGGACGCTGTGCAGGATGTTTTTACCGAAGAGGCCTTGAGGTGCAATTTCGAGTGGAAGGTAAAATATTCTGACAGTAAACAACTACATGTCATATGCAAGCATGATGTAGAGGGATGTACGTGGCAACTGCGCGCTGCAAATATGAAGAGAAAGGGTGCCTGGGTGATTCGAAAAGCCGAGACGAACCACACTTGCTCCTCGTCCATACTTTCCCAAGATCACATGCAACTAAAAGCAAAGAAAGTTGGGAGAACTATTAAGCACCTTATGGAAGCACAACCAGATATCAAGGTCAAATCTATGACGACAGAGGTGAAGGACCGACATTCTTACACGATAAGGTACAAAAAATCATGGCATGGAAAGCAAAAAGCCATGGCTGAGGTGTATGGTGATTGGTAGGATTCATATGCTTTACTCCCTAGACTTATGGGAGCAATGGAGGAGTCCAATCCTGGGACTATTTTCATCCCAGTATAAAACAATGTATACACTAAGGATCAAGTTAGAGTACAGGAAAAGTTGATGTTTCACTGTCTTTTTTGGGCTTTTAAACCATGCATTGACGGGTTTGGGTTCTGCATACCGGTTATTCAGTGTTTTACTGTTTGATTACTATTTGAATGATGTATCTGGTTACTGTTAAGTATATTTCATACTAAATCAGATCCTAAATTTTAATTAGGTTGACGGAACTTTCCTTATTGGGAAGTACAGAGGAACTCTTCTAATTATCACTGGCGTTGATGGAAACAGGCGGATTTTCCCGCTTGCATTTGCATTAGTGGAAGGGGAGAACAGCTTAAGTTGAGCATGGTTATTTGACCAACTACACGAACACGTGACACAGTGCGAGGGTATTACGATTATATCCGGTCGACATGCGGGGATTAGGAATGCCGTGGGTGGTTTTCCCGACGAGTGGGGATGGACATGGCGCTGGTGTATTCGACACTGGCTCGCCAATTTCTAGCACAAATTTGGGAAGAAGAAAGACATAAAAAATCAACTTTGGCATGCAGGTACTAATGTCTATCTTATGCGATTTAACTATGGGCTGTTATTTATCATGTATTGACCAGTTTGATTTTGTTCACCTTTCAGCTGTTGCACATCAACCAAAAAAAGTATGAGCAGAAGATGAAGACGATCCGTCAGACCCACCGAGCTAGAGCAGTATGTGCTGAAGGTCAAGAGTTGCCCATGTGGATGTTCCATATGGACAACGAGGCCAGATGTGGTATTGCAATTACCAACCATGGAGAAAGTATAAATAATGTGTACAAGGGTCTTCGAGCGATGCCTATTTATGTCATAGTGGAGATATCATACTGGAAGGTCAACGAGTGGCATGTTGCTCGGCTTTAGCAAGCTATAGGGAGGGAGCTATCTGGTCATGCGATAGCACATGACGTATTCGTTCAAATGTAGAAGAACGATGAAAAATTAAGTAAGCATAAAGTTGTTCTTTTCGACCGCAATGAAGGAATATTCGCAGTTGAAACAGGTCTATGGGGTGGAGGGAGACGTGGCCACAATCGTCAAACGGTTAAATTGCACTACGAATTAGGGGATTGTACATGTCAAAAGTATCAGAACAAAAGGATACCCTGTTCACATGCAATGGCCGTAGCTAAGTCAATAACCATGAACAGAAACGGCGTGGTGAGTCCTTACTACACTGAACAAGCGGTACGGAACTCATATAATGTAGCTTTGAGCCCCATGCCAGATGAAGCGTATTGGCCTATATACGCTGGAAAGTTGATTATCCCACCGTTGCACCTAAAACGCACCAAAGGTCGTCCTAGAGTTGAAAGGATACACAATGAGATTGATCAAGTTGAACGCACGAGGCGGGGACCGAAGCGATGCTCCAAGTGCAGACAACCTGGTCATGACAAGAGGCGTTGCCCAGGACAACCACTCCAGCATGGTGCGGATATAACCCAGGACCAATGATGTACAAGTCATCTATCTTAATTTTCATTAACTTGTAATGAGGTACTAAATTGTAAGCTTGTTTAAATTTTCATTACCCCTTTGGTTGAATTACTTGTTTAATTGTCGGTGATCGTTAACATTATATAGACGTCATGGGTTATATTTATTCACTCTCAAATGTTCTCCTTGTCGATACAATCGCGTAGCCGCAAACGGCTCATTATTTCGACCTCAAACGAATAAGATACTTTTGTTTTAGTTTTAGGTACGGAAACGCAACTCTAACGACATGTGCAGTTTTGAACTAACTTATCTCACTCGTTTGGACACGGAAATGAGATCTGTAAAATTCTTCGTGATTGTTGTTAATTTTCCCAACTTTTTTATGTTGAGCTTAGATACTAATTCTTGATAAATTGATCCAGAATATTCATACTTGAAATGTCATCAATAAAGTGTTTCAATGGCAACTTAAGTGCGTAGGATTGTTTTTAGACAATGCAAACTCAAATCACAAGACCTAAAAATTTAAAAAAACAACATGGATAGTTCACTACAATGACATAACACTGGAATAAACACGATAATTTCACTCATTTGCTTCATTCTGGCCCCCATTTCTACCTCTTCCTCCTCATCCTCCACGACGTCCTCGACCCCTTCTTCCCCCCTCCGCTTCTGCTTCTTGGCAGGCTCGCTCAACGAATGGTCGCGGATTTCTCTTAACCCGAGCCACAACTGGAGTTACATATGGCGGTGGAGGTGGCGCTGTCTGAGATGGACCGGTAGCTTGCTGGTAGATCGGGGGGTAAGGGGTTTGTTGCTGCAGGGTCTGATACATCGGACTCTGTTGCTGATGGTGGAAATGAGGGAACCCTTGAGTGAAAATGTCAGGTTCCTGAGATGGACCGTGACTCGATGACCCTCCAGCGACATCCGGTGAAGGTGCCGATGTGTACTCAAAGGGTTCAGGGAGCTCGGTTGCTTGAGTTGTACGCACCTCTTCGAACGTAGGCAGAGGGTTGCGTTTGCTCTTTCATGGGGGCTCAACCGGGGGCACAATGCGCTCACCATCACGGAATGAGGGGCGTGCCAGGGTAGGAACGGGAGGATAGGCCATGCACGACATCCCTCCTTTGCTCTCTGGTACAACTCAGGAGGTTGTTCATAAGCCGGGTCAACCAAGAAGTCTTCCGCTCATCCATGGTTGGAGCAATTTCGAGGGTGTGCTTGGCTTGTTCCAAACCATCAACCTAAGGAAAGCACGAACTAAATCAAATTAACTAAACCTTAAAATAAAATAATTTTAATACGAGGGAGATTAGGATGACTTACCAACGAACCCATCACAGCACCTTGCTTTGACACCCATCTATTGGTGAACTTCTGATACCACTTCATGTACCCATCGTGGTAGCCCATCGGTCTCGTCTCCGACATCCCTTGGACCACCCATGTCCCTCTATTTTCCCAGATGTTGATGTAGAACTGATGCTTTAGGAGCCAGTTCTTTGCCGCGTGCCGGAGGTCGATGGCATGGAGATCCTTGAAACCTTGAGGCGGGGTTTGTGGAATTGGTTGCTCCATTCGATATTGCCTCAAGGATCCATCGGGTAGGTGCCACTCCACGATGTGCCATTAGATCAATGACACCTTGCACAACCACGTCTCGTGATCCAGAGGGTGTCTAAGATGATGCAGCTCGACCACTTCACGTGGATATGGATCCCATATAACCTATATTCATTCAAAATTCGGAATTAGCGACCATTTAAATTGAAAAAATTTAACTTATTCAAATATGGACAAAGCATGATTACCTGATTCCACCAAGGTTTATCGAACTCGGAACGATAAAACAGTAACGAATGCTCAGGTTGATGGTCATTCGTATTTGCTCCTATCCACCTTGTAAGTAAAAGTACGGAATCAATTTAATTGAAATATAGCTAAGCATGTAATAAATTTAAATTAGGCTAAGTACGGAATCAATTTAATTAAAATATAGCTAAGCATGTAATAAAATTAAATTAGGCTAAGTACGGAATCAATTTAATTGAAGTATAGCTAAGCATGTAATAAATTTAAATTAGGCTAACTACGGAATAAATTCAATTTAAATATAGCTAAGCATGTAATAAAATTAAATTAGACTAAGTACGGAATAAATTCAATTTACATCTAGCTAAGCATGTAATAAAATTTAAATTAGGCTAAGTACGGAATAAACTTACTTGACACCGTAGGGGGGATTTTGGAGAAAGTGTAGCTCATCATCGGCTCTCCGGTATGGACGTGGGTCGAGAGGTGCGAACATTGGAAGATGCTCCCATACTCACAGCTGTAGGATGAACATCGCAGCACCAGCTTGCTTTGCTCCCACCTTCGAGCAAGTACACAGCTCCCGGTATACGCCCACTATCACGGCCGATCCCCAACTCTTTTCCCCGATTGCGTCCCAGTCACCATTGAACAATGGCAACCATATGCCTTGAATCCATCGGTTTGACTTGTCAAGGAACAGAAATCCACCCACCAAACCAATGAGGTAGATGCGGGCATAGCGCTCCACTTGTTCTTCCGGAGTCTCGTCATTGATTTCCACCTCAGCCTGGATGTGAGTTACCAGCCACGGGACCGACACTTGTCCCGCATTCAACGGTGGATGCCCCCGTCCTTGAATTGGTGTGGTGGTCGGCATGTCAAAGCCCAAACGATCACGAATGAGCGGCCCCCTACCTCCTTTGGGTTTGGTAGTGGAACCAATGATGGCATCTCTAGAAATCGGCAGCCCGGTGAGGATCGCCACGTCTTTGAGGGTGATCGTCATTTCACCCTCTGGAAGGTGGAACATATGGGTTTCGGGATGCCATCGCTCCGCCATTGCTGTAAGCATATCGTTGTCGATTTCGATTCGCATGAAATTGCGCAACATTCCCAACCCGGTCCTCTCTTTATAGGGCGCTAACCTTGGATGCCAAGCAGGCAAGTTTGTGGTCCCTTTATGAACCACGGGAATAAGTGATTCCTACAAAAATATAGGAAAAACATCAATTTGTTAGTTTAAATAAAGCAAAATAAAACCTCAGAAAATAATAAAATAGAGCAAATAAATCATCAAATTACCGGATTGTTATCCCAAATAGCACAGGAGCGATGAGCTTCTTGATCGGTTACGAGTCTCATATCTCTTGGCCCATAACGGATATACAATCGAGGATCGTATATCTCGGCACCCATCTAAAAAAAAGTAATGAAATCAGAGATTGTTTTGATAAAAAAATCACAAAATCAAATTGTTTCGATTAAAAAAATCACAAAAATAAACCAAAAACCTACACGAAGAGCCTCTTCTTCCATTTTTTGGCGGAAGCCGGACAGAGGTTCGACGGGTTAAGGTTTGTAAGGGACGGGAGCTTAGCGGGACGGGGTCTTTAGGGTCAAACTCTAGTAATTCTTTCTGATGTGGAAGATCGGACTTAGTTGCAACCACAAGGCATACTTAGAACGAGACTAGAGCGGATAAATTGAGGGAGAAAGAATTGTAATTGTTGTGGTGTGATTTGTAAGTGGGGGGAAGGGTTCATCAGAAAAAAAAGGGGAGCATTCACCGCGTCCCTCAAAGACGGTGAAGGCATCGTCTTTTTCAAAAACGATGAAGTGACGCGGATCGAGCGACGTGGCTTGCTGTAAGGCGTCGAATCTGTGAAGAAAACCACGATCCGCGCCTCACCGCATCCAACGGCCACGGTGAATGGGTCAGCGACGCGGATCGCTGACGCAAACAAACACTGGGTATTCACCGCGTTTGTCCACGTCAGCGATCTGCGTCGCTTCATCGTGGCCAATCGATGAAGATTACTTTTCACCGCGTTTTAGTAAAACGGTGATTGACTCGCTCGTTGTTCACTGTTTTAAAGGAAGACGGTGAATACGTCACTGTTTTTTTTTTACGGTGAAATATTCACCGTGTTCATCAAACGCGGTGATAATCTTCACTGCGTTTGTCAAAAACGGTGAATGCCAAACATGTGTACTTTGGGAATTTTTTTATGACTTATGTATTTTTGGAATTTTTTTTAAGAAGTAGTGTACTTTGGGATTTTTTCCAATAGTCACAGAATGTTCCAAATATGTGGAGATGCAAATAACCCTTTATCCTTCATGATAATTGCTCCATTTTTTTACATTTTTGTGGAAATAGGCCTCTAAAAAAAGGGCAAATGCTATTACATTTCTTCAGTATGGTAAAGTATCTCGCATTTATTTTATTATGCAGGTCTACAATGAAGCTCTTTCTCATAGTGCGTACTGATCTCCGTGGTTGGGTAGTGGGTTGTCGTTGAAGTCTGTCTCATAGTGCTTACTGATCCCCGGTGCAATAGAGTTCGAATTATGAGGAGGAGCAAGCAAATCTAGAATCAGAGAAATTGTCGATCACCTATCCAGAGCCGCAGAATGACGATGGAGATGTCTACGAGATGGTCACGTTGGAAAAGGAGCATATGGATTATCTCGATCCTTTTAACGATTATGATGATGATGATTTTTCTTGTAGGAACGTACAACTTTGAGGGCAAAGCTTTGCCAACGGGGAGGGACTGATGTGATCCTGGATCATGGCCCAAAACCATTCCCATTGATGTTTAAAGAAGAAACCAAGTCAAGGGAAGAAGTATCTGGAAATTTGGCTAAGTCTGTGAAACAGTTCGTGGTACCTACTTTGGAGGCTTGCATATTCATCTTGCAAGAAAATCAATGGGAGTTTGGAGTTGAAGGTGAAATTACAAGTGCTAATAAATATTGTGAAGGCGTCGGATGAGAAGATTGAAGCTTCTGGGGCACCAAACGAGAAGCCAGAAGATCGTATGGTGACCAGTAAAAAATCCACAGTCAGAAAGCCAATTCCACGACCGTGGAATTCAAGTTCAGACAATGGATTTTGATCAAGACAATTCCACACTCAAGACACCAAATCCACGATCGTGGAATTCAAGGAGGAGACTGTGGAATTTGACCTGACGAGTTTTGTACCTTTTTCATTTAGGATTCTTTCCTTTTTTGGTGTTTGCATTAGGTTTATTTTTCCCCACCTATTTTGAGAGCCACGAATTTTGGCACTTGATGAAGACTTTTAATAATTGAAAAACCCTTTTGTTGATTGAGCATTTGCTTGTGAATTTCGTCCTTGTTTGTTAGTGGATCTCCAGCATTCGAGCAAGCTCTGTATCAATCAGGTATTCCCCTTGATTGTGGTCGAGTTGCAATCCTTATATTGTTTGAGCCTCTTCCCGATTTCGTGTTGGAGTTGCACGACAATTCCGCCATATCCATTATTTTCGAGTTGTTGAGAGAAAATTCAGAAAACCCCTAACGAGATCGTAGCTGCGCGAATGTGATCAAAAGAACCTAGACTTTCACGAGTTTGGGATTTTTATCAGTATGATAGGCATGCGAAATAATATCAATGTGCATATGCAAGATGATTTTTTGGTGGATGCATGAATGCTTGTGAAATCAAATCACATATTTTTATGAAAATACTATAAAGCTCAATCCATCATAAGTAAGCATACATCAAAACCATAACAAAGAATCCATCATGTCATAAGCAATCATACATCAAAACCATAAGAAAGACTACCTATTAAGGTAAACCTAGGATTTTCTGCGGGTTTAGCAACAAGGGTCAAGGTTGGTTGGGATAAGTTTCGGATAGCCTAGAGTGGCATCTAATATGACTATGTGCAGGGGTAAGGAGTTCTAGGGTATTACCCCAATTTTTATTCAACTATAGCTCTTTCGAGTTAGTCCAATACCTCAAACCAAACTCTGATTTGAGTTCAACTTGGTTAGAAAGTTTCATGTTAATCGTATACTATTGTAGAAGTCACGATACTCCTTTTATTTTTTAAAATGAGAGGCCAGGCATAGAGCTTTTATGAAGAATGCAAATAATTAAGTACAAGATAAATTAAAAGCACAAATGATCATAATAAATACCCAAAAAAGGAAAGAAAGAAAAAACTTATCCATTTGTAATTGTAGCTCTACTCTCAAAATATCCCCAGCGGAGTCGCCAATGTAGCAACATGATTCGGGTCCAAATGTACACATTTTAACACTCATTTCTTGTTCGTTATCCTTAAATATCACCATTCCTCGACCTATTTTATGCTAGATTGTGCTTGTTTTGGTACATTTTAGGTCCTAGCACGTATTGGAAGGGATTTGGAGCTGAAGGAAAGGGGGGGGGGGGGCTGGTTTTTGGAGAAGGAACACTTTCTTTCTCTAAGGTTTTAACCCAAAACACTAAAGGGGAGTTCTAGAGAGTGAGAGAGTGATCTTGGAGCTTATTTGAAGGCATTGATCAAGCTTGGAAGTAAGGAATCAATCCTAGAAGAAAAAGATGAAGATCTAGAGGTCTCTTTGTAATCTCCTCTCTCTCTCTCTCTCTCTCTCTCTCTCTCTCTCTCTCTCTCTCTCTCTACAAAATCACCCTCTTGTCTTGGGTCTAAGAATCCTAGCTCTAGGTTTTGGTTTTATGTTGAAGTATGTGACAAATTCCATATTTGATTGTTGATTTTACTTAATTGATGGATGTTTTCTTGAATGGCATGAGTTAGGTTTCCATTTTCATGTATTGAGCTTTGGACCTAGGAGGGGGAAAATCCCCTTAGAGCCCGTTATTGGCATCCTTGGGTCACTCCTATCGTACATTGTCCAGGTAATCCCCGAGGGAGTTGATTCAATTGATCTCCTCGAAATATATGAAACCCTAGGTTGAATAGAGCACCTACCCATACATTGATTTGCTGTTCCGGGTCATTCCTGACGGAGTCCTTCTCCAAACGGTAGAGTATTTGAGTCGATCGTACTAGGAGGATACTCAAAATCGATCCAAAGGTCCGAAATAAGGGGGTTTAACCCAAAAGAGCTCTATACCTTGTAAATAGTTAGGTTAGTGGTTAGTCTAGGTTAGTTAGCTTAGTTTTATTAATCACTATCCTAGGATTGGCTAGATAACGAACACTAAACCTGAAGTAGGGTAAGCCTAGATCCCTGTGGTCCGATAAATTCTTATTGCTTGCTTGCCCTATGCTACACCCGCTCGCCGGTTATACTTGGCCGGAGATTGGGATGCTGTAGTTAGAACGAGTCAAGTTTTTGGCGCCGTTGCCGGGGACCATTCTAGGTTATTTGAAAAAGGGTTAGGTCGTTACTTTAGTCGTTTTGTTGACCCACTCTTTTCCTAGAAGGGTGGTTTGTGTTTGTTTGATTTTGTTTTGTTTTGTTTTGTTTTTTTTTTTTTGTGTAGGTTTTGAATCATGGATCCTTACGACTTCACCGACATGTGGGGGTATCCACCACCACCTGAGAGTGGTTACCCCGGAGCTTCATGGTACGATAAAAATGGGGGAAGCCAAGGATCCGAGTTCTATTACCAACCCCCCTTCCAAGAAGAACAAGCATACCGTTGGGGATTTCAAGAAGATCCCCCATATGAATAAAACTTCCCTCCTCAAGTCGAGGAGAAATTCAAGTTGGAGTTGGCAATGGAAGCTTTCATGGGGCATACCTCAAGACCATGTGCCACTCCGAGATTGGAGCCAAAGAGCCAATTAGAGCTCATGTTGGAGCAGTTTGTTCGAGGCACCGATGAAGAGTGCTCGAACTTAGATCTCCCACAATCCAAAGACAAGTCCAAGTTGGAGCTTTCCATGGATAACTTTGAAAGAGTATGCTCCAACATGGATTTCCAACCCCTCCCTCGTCCCGGTTTGACACTAGAAGAGAAGGTGGCACATGCTTGTGAAATCTATCACCTCTCATCATTGGAGGAGAACAAGGAGGTTGAAAGTGCGATCAATGACAACCATATGGATCAAGAGGAAC